TTTTTTTTTTTTTCTGGACGAGACCCGACGAAATTCTTCTGACTTGGTCACGCTGACTAATTGTATGTTGAAGAATGCGACTGCATCGATTGATCTCTGACCCGATTTTCCATCGGGACGCGCCATGACATAGCGTTGAGCAGACGCGCACGGAGCTTTCTGCTGAAATTGGCCTCTCCATCTGACGTCTGCACAGTGCGACAGCGTTGGCGTGCATCGTACCATGCAAAAGAGGCGCATTGACAGACCCTTTGACATGACATCGTCCCGCTGCTCTGAGACGTGCAGCTCGTGGCGCCCAAACGTGACTCAACTGAGGCGTCTTGTGGCCGAACAGTCCGGGGCGGTGTCATTCTTTGAGATGAAAGAGGAACCTCCGCAGCTGCTCGCCTGTCAAAGCTCAAGTCCGCTCGTGCTTACCAATCCGACAGCTTCACCTGTGAGTCGGCTTCTGCTTCGCTTGCAGCGTGTGCCCTCCACTCATCGATGTCGATCAACGGTGAAGATACTTTGCGCTGCTGCTTCTGACATCGAGAAAGCCTCTCTCTCCCATACACCCCACCACCATTTCTGAAAGTGCAACGTATTTTCCAGATCCGCTTCAACATCTGCCTCCAACATGATTGTCAATCAGCTGCTTCTCCGCAGGACAGCGGTGCTGTCTTCATCTTCGCGCCGAGCATTCTCGACAACCGCATCCGCGTTCAACTCGACACCCCAGTTTAAGCGCGAGGGCCCTACCGCTCACAAGGGCGACAAGCACAAGTTTGACGATGGTCGTAAGTAGCAAGCCACGCAGTAGTTACTGCAGGCATCGTGGTGAAGTCCAATATCTCCCCTCCTGACACCACACTTGAATGAATTCCCCATGCTATCGTTCGCAGGCGACGACCCTCACTACCCAGGCGTGCAGCAAAAGAACAAAGCCATGAACGATCCATACCCCAATCGTCCCAACGCAGACCGCCAGGACCCCGAGCCCGAATCGCCCAAGGGCCACGAAGGCGCCTTTGCGGACCACCGCGGTCGAGGCAGCCGCGCAGACGGCGAGCACCTCACCGGGTCCGAGGAGGCTGCCGAGACACGCACCGCGGACCGCGTTGGTCAGTTGGCCAAGAACGCAGCAAAATCCGTCTTTGGTTCTTCCGACAAGCGCTCTTTCTCCACCTCGAGCCGCAACTTGGCCGAGGAGCCTACCCAGGTCAACCGTAACACCCCAGCCACCACGCCCAAGGGCAGCCTCAACGAGCATCCAGGCTACACCACAGGCGATGCTCCCATCGACTCTCAGGATCCATCCGAGATGCCCAAGCCTTCAGAGCATGCTATGCCCTCGTCGGCCTCGGGCAACGCCAGCACAAAAGCAGCTGCACCGCATCCAGATGTAAACGCCATGGCTGACGGGGCCAACCAACCAGGAGGAGGCGTCGATGCGATCCATCCCGAGGACCGAACACAAAATTCTTGGGGTGCAAATGCGAGGTCGGCCCAGTTCAATCCAGAGGAGGGAAAGAGACAGCCTCTGCAACATGGTGGCAGTCATGAGGGAGGCTTCAAGGGCCAGCCCGGCGGAAAGTCTCGCACCTGAGCTTCGACTTCCGTCCTCCTTCATGATTGCATAAATCTCACCTCGGTCTTCATTTCTTTGTCACAGCTCAGCTCAGCTCAAAACATCACATTCCTGGAACCAGTCGGCAGAGAGAATGAGACCCAGCATTGATTGCTCCGCCACTTAGCTTCGATTGAGAGATTTGTTCGATTGTGATCGGGTATATGACAGGAATATCAGTAGCCATGATGGCTATGATGGATAGGTTCATGCGTCGTAGGAAGGCGGATGCGGCGAAGTGCCGTATGCGGGTGGACGATGATCTTCGCTTTGAGCACTGGCGTGCTGTACGGAGAGGCTACGTTGCACTTGTGAAAGATCTTGTCGGTCTTCAATCTGATCGTTGGAAGCGGCGCCGTGATCGATGGACAGACCGCCACTGCTGGCATGCTGTCGTACAGCTTGGTCGAACGGGGGCGCTGGATCAGCGTGACTGCTTCCGTCAATGTATGGCGGAGGTTCGTGATGCGAGACACTCTCGGGATGACTTGAAAGCGGAGTCTGGGAGCCGGACATGACTGCCTCGTAGGATGGATGTGCCTCACAATCTGCTCCAGCGTTGGGACCAGGCTTCGTAGTCCTCTGTGACTGATCGACAGCGTGTTGAAGGGAGGGTTGAGAATCAGTGCGATCTGACAGCACCATCGCAGCACTTTCGGAGGCCAAGGACGCCTCCGCGTAGGGTGACAGCGTATCCTCGGTGTTCGCATGAGTACCGTCGATTGGGGGAGGCGGCGGGAATGTGTCATCGGCCGTGCTATCCATCTCGGGGTACTGGTCGGCAGGGTGACGGAGGGGATGACGAGGCATGGCCAATCCTACGCCGTCAACTTCAACCTCGACCTGCAAATCGTTCCGGCTCTCGAGCAGCGAAGGCGGTGGCCCATCATGGTGGGTCGATGGATCGGATACTTCCAAGAATTGGCGAAGCTGCTCCAAACGTTCGGCATGATCCATCGCTTGGTTGCTGGAGCCGGCCACGTTGGATTGGTCAGCAGCTTCCATCAGGTCGTTGAGGCTTCGGCCTACATCCTCGTAGCCGTCGTATTCGTCCTCCATGCCAAAGTCGAGCAATCCGCTAGCATATTCTGGGCTGCGCGAGCTCGATTCGCCGGGCTGTTGGTCGTCGGCAAGCATTCGTGCCTTTTCGGACCGTTTGAGCCGTTCCTTTTCCGAGAGCGTACTGAATCCTCCGAGACTACTGTCGTTCTGATTCTCCAGTGCGCCAGCAGCCCCGGGAAGAATCCGGACGGCTCTACGAAGAAGGATATCTCTGCGTTCGCCGCGACCGCCGAGAATACCGATCTTGATGCGAACCTCGAAGCTGATCTTGTGCATCAGTGTCTCTTGGCTGATACTTTCGCATCCACCGCCTCCGCCACGCCCAAAAACAGGACCAGATACAAGCGCGTCGTGGTCTGGATGCGGATGCGGCATGTTGGCACGATCGAAGGGCGGATGCAGCGTTAGACGAAGCAGCACGGGACGCTGAGAATGGAAGCGGCAGAGCTTACCGCTGTGGGCAAGCAATGCTTGATGTACGTCCGGATCTGTACCTAGCTCTTGCACTGCAGCACGGTCAGTCAAGACGGTCTTTGCTCTGGCGCCGTCATCCGTTTCTTGACCGCTGGGGCGCTTGACATGTATGATGCGAATCAGATCCGCCTCGACTGCTCGTAGCTTGAGACCTTTCTCGGTGACGTTCGTAGGATCTGGAGGGGGAATGCGAACACGGATGTCGATTGGTTCTGCGCGCCGAAAGATGGTGCGATTGATCTGGGCGTAGACTAACGTTGGCGCCTGCTCGACCCAGTTGTGTGGCTGGAGAGTGTACTTCTGCTCTGTGGCGGCAGCGCCGTCCAGTTGATTGAGCTCGACCTCATTGAGTGGACCGGGACGTGTGTAGCGCACGAGATGCACTGGAACGGTTTTTACGGCGTGCGGCAGCTTACCGGCGTCCTCGCTGAACAGCTGAGCGGTGATGGAGTAAGCGAGAGAGCTTTGGCGAAGATGGATGCAGTGAGGCAAGTCTGAAGTGAGCGGGAACGAGAAGGGCATCGTTGAAGGTACTGTAGCAGTGCTGGCATTCGAGCTTGATGCCTCTTTGTCGACATCCCACAGAATTAGCTTGTGCGAGAAGAGTTCGATTAATTGAGGACGCTCCGATCCCTGACTACTTGTTGCGATAGCGCTGGATGCGTTGTTTGGTGATGCGCTATTGCCCGGAGCTCGTTCAACTGCTTGAAGTGTGACGACGCAACGAGTGTACCTGCCCTTTCTTTTGGTCGAAGAATCGAGTTTGACCAGCACATCGCCTTTGAGCCAAGCCTGGAAGCCCTCGAGACCCAGGTAACCGACTTGAAACGAAGTGGAATCGCTGCGAGGTGCAATGTCAAAGAAGCTGCCTGTGTCGTTTCCGGCTGCGCGGGACCCAACGGGTTGGAATGTAGGATCCGTCATAGCTACCTCAGAGGTCAAGGTTACGCTGCTCGCGCCCGCTTCTGAGTAGTCCGGAAGACTCGCATACATTGTTGTTTGTGACAGACCAATTGCCGAGATCGGTGAGATGTGTGAGCCGGGAGCAAGGCTTGCCTGCGCTTGGATGACTGTCGAAAGCTCAAAAGCAGCGGATCGCCGGATCGGGCTGGATGCTCAGGTGCGAGAGACAAAGCTCTCCTTCATTCTGACTACGCCTCTGTTGCCTTGTGAACGGAGAAAGTAGTTTGCTGCGAGGGTGAGTGAAGAGGTAGCAACTCGTCGGAAGGGACCGTTGATGTGGTCTGACGTTGAGCCGTGGTCCTTGGTCACAGGCCTTGCTTGAAGCGAGTGCACGTCGGAAGGTCCAAGCGTGCCTGCTGCGCCAGATTTTTGATGTGGAGTTGGACCCAGTCAAATTCACTCTTTCTCTTTGCCTCGGTTATTTGGCGGGCTGCCGTTGTAGGACCCCTGGCTGGCCATGCGGGTGCTCACGACGCACAGGGTCGACGATCTTGGCACCCTTTTCCTGAGGAAGGCCTGTCTTACGTCAAAACAGAGACTCAGTCACTGCTTGCCGACTGACCTCAGCACGACAGCTAGCTGTCGAAGACCCTGTGTGTGGTGGGGGAACCCGTGCTCAAAACACCAACTCGCAGACAAGATACCGGATCGCAATCTCCCATGACACAGACAGGTGGACCCACGTAATTGATATGCTTTCTGTCCGCTCCGCTATGAATGTCAGTCTTTGGCAGCCGGGAATGGAAAAGGGGGATTGTTGGGGCGAGGGTCCGATTGACGTTCGTGGTCGAAAGGAAACGGGTTCTCTCTGCGTGCTTGTCGGATAAGGTCGTCGAGCCCCCTTTCGGTAACAGCCCTCTACAGCAGGACCATCGCATGTTTGCGGAGACGGAGGAAGAAGGGCGAGCGCGATGAGTGCATGTGCAGCTCGTGTCAGTACTTGGCGACTATCAACGTGGCTTTTCGGCGATTGTCTATGTAGGCATGTGCCACTTACCCTGACACAAGCTTGATATTCGTTGAAGAGCTTGCCGCAATCTCGGTCGTAGCGCTCCATGATGGCACGCTTGCTGGATTCGACGTCGGGTTCCGCTATTGACGACGCCCTCGTCGAGCCCGAAGAGCTGGAGGATGCGTCCGAGAACCAACTCGACCTCTTCTTGCCGCTGTTCGAGGCGGCTGGCTGCGCTGTTCCGCTCCCTGATGCCTCCCCCTGTCGCTGCTGCTCCCGGATCTGGTCGTCGCCGATCGCGAGGTAATCTTTGAACCAAAGGTTGAAGCAAGAGTCGTATCGATGCTTGAGCGGCGTGCACTCTGGTGAGAGCGATGAGATGGAGCCGAGTCCAGCTGCTCCTTTCGCCTGCCACTCCGCATCGTCGACTTGCGCGACCATCGGTGCGCCTGAGCCGGTGGTGGCGGTCGATGCCGGACTTGACGACGAGCCGGTCGCTTCCGGTGATTGCTCCTTACCCCTCGAGAAGAACATGGTAGATCAAGACGTACTAGAAAAGCTCGGTCGCTACAGGGAAGATCACTGTCGATGCCAGACGCACGAAGTCAAGGAGGACGAGGAAAGCTGCAGCTCACGTCGAAACTTCCACACTTTCACAGAAGCGCGAACAAAAGTGGGGTCATGCACCATCCATCATCTCGCTGCTCGAAATCGACCCTTTACTGTTAGATTCGCTCGACACCTTATGCTTTCACAGAGTCGCTCTAACATAAGCTTCGCCAATGTCAAAGCTGCGAACATCGTTCACACCATCCGCACGTACGAGGAGGTCGTTTGAGGTCAGCATTCGGTTCAATTGATGGAACTTGGAACTGAATCCATTACGAAAGATTCTCAAGCTTCTGAGAAAACACAAGACCAGACCCAAGATCGCGGTAGACACGACGAACCGTGAACTTGATCCGAGTTTTCAGCCTATGGATCCGGAAGAGAGAAAACGAAAACATCAACCTTGTCAGCTCGATGGTCACGACGATCTCTAGTGGTTTCTGTCGCGGTAGCAGCGCGGGAGCGTGGACGAATGAGATCGGCACAGCGCGCGTCACCGACAACGACGCAGCCGTCCGGTCCGGTGGGCGCATCGCCGGCTTTGGGATCCATCATATAGGAGCGAAAGACGTTTTAGATGATGGGGTTCTCCGCAATGAGCCTTGCGAGCTCTCGGATTGAACTATGCTGTGCTTGGATATAATCCTGTGGAATCCCTCCCTGGCGATGCGAAGGTAGCGCTTGCCGCTCGATGCTTGTCGCTCGACGCCCGACGCTCGCCGCTGTGCCGAGTGCTCCACCGTGCCAGACCTGCTCTACATCTCGTGTCGAAGGTGTTGAAGGAGTGAGCAGAGTGAAACTTACCTTCTCAAATAGACAGGGCGACACCGCTCTGCCAGGAAGATGAGACCGAGCGGCGGCTAGAACCCTCGACCGACCTCGATGTGGTTACGAAGAAAGTTGCGATGAACATCGCAGCAAAGAATTCCACTCTACTCTTTTTCTCCAATTCGAAGCTTCTCGCTTATTTTTCTTTTTTTGGGATGGGCCGCAGCTGATCGAGATTGATTTTGGTATCGACCCGATCTTCAATCAAGAAATTCTTTGTCGTTCGCCGTCTCCAAGCATCACGTCCAATTCTGCCAGCCCATTCGCGCGCCTTCGTGAAGGCGACCCGCACTCCGAGCTCTTGTACGAAGCCTGATTGCGGCCAGTGCGGCAAATGCTCGCAGCCTCAGGCCGGCGAATGCTCTGCATGTACCTCGGTCCGTTTGGGTTTCAGACGCCATACGGCTAACTGTAGGAACGAAATGACGTTTGACGTGCGTCTCTGTATTTCGCACGCGATCTGCAACACGCGTGTCTGGGCGCACCTGCACGGCGGAATTACCCTTGAATGGCGTTATTCGACGCATACTGTATGCGAGAGAAAACCACCGGACGCAAAGCGACAGTAACACGGAACCTCTCGCCACAGCGGCGGATCCGTCAATTGGTATGCCACCGATGAGCACGCTATCACCGCATTCGCTTCAAATCCATCAACCCTGGTTGGCTCTTCAGCCGAAGCAGCCTAAACGGATTGCCGAGAACCACCTGCTCGTTAAGCGATTTCCTCATAGTGCCCCCGTCGTTTGCAATGCACCCAAAACAATACGCTGCCATGTCATTCTATTCAAAACCTCAAGCTCTGATTGGTCAACCTCAGCGTGGGGTAGCCCAACAACATTCCGAACGATCAACTAGACCCTTTCACCCGTGGGATCGACAGATATAGTGACGAAGCGCGATACTCGCATCGCAGACCTATCGAGTAGTGCGCCCGTCTGTGGCAAACCGTCAACACGTACCCTATCACCTCATCCAGGTCCAATCTTTTTAATCAGCTTCGTCCGTCCAAGCGAGCGAGCTCGGAAAGTTCTGAGCAATCAGCTGTGCGTTCCATTTGCCCATTAGGCTGAAAGCACCGTTCCGACGGGTTGAGTTCCGACGCCGTCTGCACTGTTTGACACAACCGACGGGTTGTCTCATGATCGAAACGCCAACAACCGCCCTCTCCCCCCCCCTTTCCTTTGCTCGCTTCCATCGTCTCTCAGCTAATGAACAAAGAAGACAGTGTCTGCACCATCGTACATGTTTTGCCACCATACTGATCTCTCGCACTGAACTTTGATTGTCAACCCGCTTCCCTGTAGGAATCGATGCGAGTCGGCCGTATGGCGCCATCACGGCCGAACAGCTACCCTGTCGCGGTTCCGCACCGATGCAAGAAACCCGAGGCGACTTCGCTTGGAGAGATTGTCGAGACGGGTTTTGAACTGTATCGAATGGCAGCCGACAGTACTTCAAAAACGTTGCGAGGAACAAGTATTGCGCCATCCTCCTTCACAGGACGAAACAAACAATCACCATGCCGTGTTCGAAGAAGGATGCAAGAAAGCTTAGCAGTCGTACGCCGAAGTAGGCAGTCGTACGTCGAAGAGGGTGCTGCGATGATGCTTGTTTGGATCGTTTCGAATGATTCTCAAAGTGCGCAGCACAAACAGATGGAAGAACTTGACGAAAAGGAGTTGAGCAAAAGGTATAAGAGCAAGCTTCCCTAGACCCAAATCAAGAAGAAAATCGCACCTCATCTCTATCTCTCTCACTCTACAACTCTCCCCCTCACTCCCCCGCCCCAGCATGAGGCTCTCAATCCTCATCCCCACTTTTTCCGTCCTGCTTAGCAGCGTCGCTGCATTCCCCTCCTATGCGGACCTCAGCAAAGCCGACATCTCTGCTGTCCTCGAAAGGGCCGCACAGCTCAACGGGGCCAAGGACCTTCCTGACCTAAGCAAAGTCGACTACTCTGCTTTCCTCGAAAGGTCCGCACAGATCAAAGCTGGCGACGAACTCATCAAGCGTCAGACCCCTAACAGCGGCAACACCGGCTTCGAGCAGCGTACCTTCCATGCTCTCATCAACCCGGCTAGCTTCAAGTACAATGCTCAAGAGCAGCACGTCGACCTGACTTCGGACGAGCACAAGTTCATTCCTCCCGGTCCCAACGATATCCGTGGTCCTTGCCCGGGTCTCAACCTGTTGGCCAACCACGGTTACCTCAACCGTAACGGTGTGACTACGCTGACCCAAGGTATCGATGCCATCAACAAGGTATTCGGTGTAGCCTACGACCTAGCCCTTGCCCTGAACGCCTATGCTGTGGTGTTCAACGGCAACATCCTCGATCTGACATGGTCCATCGGTGGTCCCTACAAGTCCCAAAGTCTCGGAGCTCTTACCGATATTCTCCTCGGCGAACCCGGAGGAATCGATGCTCACAACATCTACGAGGGAGATGCTTCGATCGTCCGACAGGACTACTATGCCCCCGATGCTAACCACGACAACGTTCTGGTCCACCTTCCTTACTTCCAGGACCTTCTCGATCTCGGAAACAATGATCAAACCCCGGGCAAGGACGTGTACACTGCCGAAGTGCTGCTCAAGCACAAATCCAACCGATGGCACCAGTCGGTGGCGACCAACCCGCTATTCTTTAACTCGGCGTTCGGTGGACTCGTCGTCACAACTGCAGCCGAGCGATTTGTTGCTGAGTTTGCGGCTAACAACACGGTAGACGAGAACGGTTACAACAGACTGTACCTCGACGAGAAGAACCTCTTGGCTTTCTTCTCGGTCGAGCGTACCGACCAGGGTCTCAAATACACCCCTGGCAACGAGAGGCTTCTCACTAGCTGGGTCCGACGTCCACTCGGCGCCACCTTTGGTCTTGATGATATCGTCCTGACTCTCCTCAGCGCCGCTGCCATCGATCCCAGCCTGCTCAGTGTCGGTGGTAACGCCGGACAGGTCAACACCTTCACCGGCCTCGATGTAGGCAACCTCACCGGTGGTCTGTACAACTTTGAGACCCTTCTGAAGGATCCCCAGGCCACCGCCTGCTACCTCTACCAGATCGGTATCGAGGAGCTGGTACCCACCCAGGTCAACGTGCTCTACAAGGCCACCGGACAGGCTCTCGACTTTGTCGCTAAGTACCTCACCGCTCCTTGGAAGAACCTGGCCACTGCTGGCGGTAACCCCTGTGACAGCTTCAACTCGAACATTGCCCAGCAGTACAGCAAGTTCCCCGGATCCAAGATCGAGAGGAACGGCCAGACTGGTCTCTTGACCGGCCTCCTCGGTGCCCTCGGCGGAAAGAAGCGTCGCACCGTTCGCTACTGAGACAATCATTGCTCACCACGAGCAAGATGGCTGCTCAAACCACAAAGCTTCCTTTCCAAAACGATTTCCCCTTTTCTGATCCCCTCTGAGTAGAGCCATCGTTCTGGACTCCTCTTTTTCCCCGCCTCCGATGTCTCCCCTTCCTGCTTCGTTTCTACCTGACACACACTCTTTCCTGTCGGCGCTGCTACTTGGCCAATCTTTGTCCTGTCTTGTCGAGAGGGAAGAGGTTGAGTGTTAGCTGATTTGCTCCAGCATCGTCTAAGTCCAAGTTGGTCATAGAATTGCAATGAACAGACACAATTTTCTCTAACACAAATGTGAGCGTCTGAATGTCGGAGCCGACATGACGCCTTTGAGCTCAATTGCGTGGACCTTCCGGCCCGCAGGTTATCGCGACTGACGGCCAGCACCCAGAACCCAGTCCAGAGGAAAGCAGCCTGCATTAGTGACAGAAAAGCATAGACAGAGAGCCAGGCATCCCGAGCATGGAAGGGCGCGGATGGCTGAGTTTCTGACCAGGATTGGAAGAAATATGTTGACTCGAACACTGCCGCCGACGTGATGGCACTGTAGGCATAGCGCACGGACGCGGGCAAGGATGTGTGCTCTGCGTCTTATGAAGATCGGTCGGTGGATCTGGCCATTGCTGGCGGGTCCTGAGCTGACTCAAGTCTTGATGAGCATGTCAGGCATTCATCCTGCGGAATGTTTCAAGCACGAACACGCATCTCGAGCGACGTTGCCGTATGAAGTATTGGGCATGCGATTGATCATTCCAAGCCCGACGATAGATCTCGTGCTTTGCAGCCGCCGGGTAGCAAGAATCGAAACTTGCTTTGTTGGTCCATCAAGCCTCTCGGCAGGTTGGCAGTGTTGTTGGTCTGCATTTCGCCGCTCCAGCGATTCAGCAACTCGCTCCACGTGTATGCTTCCGGCAGCATGTCGAACAGGTCCTTGCCTGTGCAGATCTTGTCGAGGATGATGCTGGGGTGGAGGAGCTGACGCCAGTGTCGGTTGCCGAAGAGACGGTCGCTGTGGCTGTATGACTGCATCTTGAACTGGTAGTCGGAGATGCGGTGGAAGCAAGACGAACAATGCCAGCCAGCGTCGAGGAGGATCTTGTCTGTGACCTTGCCATGGTTGTACCAGGTGCCGATGGGCGTCCAAGAATGTACCTGGGCACGCCATGATTTTGCGGTGGTGGGAAATTCGAACGAGTAGACGTAGGACCGCAGAGACAAGTGCAGGGGCAGAGGCGATTGGCAGGAGGAGAGCAGCTGCACTGCGGCGAGCGAAGGGATCTCGTCCACATCGGACATGAGGATCAGACTGCCATCGGGAGGCTGCACCTGCGAACGCAGTAGCTCGGTGACGTGCTTGCGCTGCTCTCCTTCGATTGCGAAAGGCCCCTCCCCCGGTGCCAACGCTCGACCTGCGATGGTAAAGTATTGAATCTTGTCACGGTACTGCGCATACCTGGCGGCATCAAAGCCAAGTTTTTTGGGCTTGCCCGTGAAGGTGGTGTTGCTTTCGACAATGACAAAAGCGTCTACAGCGTCGTAGAGCTCTTCGAACCGCAGCTCGAGCATCTCAAGCTCGACGCTGAAGATGATCACATCGTACACCTTAGGTCGCTGTGCTGGTAAGTAAGGCGTCCAAGCGTGACGCGCACACGCGGCTGTATCGTTGGCAGGTAGCGACCACGCTGTGTAGTGCTTGATCTCTTCGTGTGGGGTGGTGTCGCCGAACTTGTCCCACAGCGGCCGTGTACTGTAGCTGAGCGTATTGCGGAGGGTTCGATCTCGGCTGAACATGTAAATGACGAACGCGGTGAAGCACAGCAGGCCCACCGAGAGCCACCGGCGACGGAGAGAGCTACAGCTGCGCCTCATCGACTGCAGAGCGGGATGTTCTGCCATGTTTTGGTGAAGAACATACGATCAGATGGAGTGAGAGGCGGAGAAGCCCCACCTGTTGCCGGCACGTGCGGCAATGCCTGTCTTTGCAGAGCCTTGGACCCTTGCTTGTGGCAGGTCTTGGCGTACAGATTGATTCCATCGGAACGGAACGTAGGGTTAGGGTTAGGGTTAGGGTTAGGGTTAGGGTTAGGGTTAGGGTTAGGGTTAGGG